TTCAACAGACTATTTATTTTTCGGTGTTCCACACAAAGCTGCTGGCCCCAGGGCTGCAGGACTCTCTCCAAGATGACACAGCTCCAGGTGGGTCAAAGCTGAGAGTTTCCAGCAAAGAACCTGAAGGAGTTCTTAAACATGAGGACAAACAAGAGAGCTGGGAAACACACACTGGATGCACAGACAGACAGGAGGGGCAGGGAGAGCCAGAGCCAATTTGAATGCTGCCTCAAATTCCCAGTTTTTCTGTCCCTGAATTGTGCAGTGAGCACGTTCAGCCCAGCCTGTGTGGTGTCTCCAGCCCTGGCCTCAAAATGAAAGCTCTGTGCAGGGGAGCAGGCACAGAGCATCACCCTCTGCTGCAGCTCAGGGACAGGGACTGCAGGATCTGGCTGCAAGGGGAAAAGCCTTGGGACAACCTGTCCCAAACAGGGGCACCCCTGAAACACGCCAGGGGACAGCCAGGGGGGTCAGGCTCTGCTCCAGGGAACAGGGACAGGAGGAGAGGGAACCTGAGAGGGGCTCAGGGTGGGCACAGCAGGAATTTCCCCATGGAAAGGGGGCTCAGGCACTGGAACTGCCCAGGGAGGTTTGGATCCCCATCCCTGGAGTGTCCCAGGAAGGGCTGGAGGTGGCACTTGGGGCTCTGGGGACAAGGTGGGGACAGGCACAGCTTGGATTTGATGGTCTCAGAGATGTTTTCCAGGTACAGCTTGGATTTGATGGTCTCAGAGATGTTTTCCAACCTCAATAATTCTGGGATTCTGAGAATGTGGCTGCAGCCAAAAGGCAGAAGGTGCTGAGGACATGGAGGGGGGCTCCATGGGGACAGCACAGGGGGTGGCAATAGCAGGAAAGCTGTAAAGGGGTTGGGTTTGGGGTGTTTTAGGAGAGCAGCAAGACAACAGTGGCCCTCGGTCACATGAAGAGCTCAAGTGACTGCCAGCCGTGCCTGCTGAACTCAGAATGACAAAGGGGGGAAAAAATGTTCCTTTCTGGGGGTTTCCACAAGAAACCACAAGAGACCAGCCAGAATCTGTTCTCCAAGCAGCAGTGCCACTCCTTGCAGGCAGTGGTTTCAAGAGGATCCTTCCAAGGAACTCATCAGGCTCCTCCCATGGGGAGCACCCCACGAGGCACCCCTCAGCACTGCACAGCTTCTCCACCTCTGGCAGGGCTGGCAGCACCTCCCAGGCAGGACCAGACCCTGATCCTCTCCCTCTGCCCACCATTCCTGACTCTGGTCACCTTCCATGGCAGCCGACACTGCCAGCATCCCTGCAAGCATCCATCCCATTCCCTTGGTTTCTCAGGAACAGCATCCATCTGCTGCCAGCAGCTCACATCTGGAATTGTGAGTGCTGTGAAAGAGCCCCAGTCCTGCTGGAAGGAAATTATTCCTCCAGCCAAGGGGTTTATGGAGCACCGAGTTTAGCATTTGGAGTTACACATTTACTACAAATCCTACAGTTACACCAGGTTTTAAACCTCAGAATTACAGTTTTATCTTCCTTCATTCCTAAAAAGCTGCCCTCACGTAAATTGCCACCTGAGAGAAAATATTCATGGAGAAAACGAGGAGAGGCAGAGGCTCTGCAGAGCAGAACCCCTCCTGAGCTCCTGCACAGAGCACGAGGTGGAGCTGACCCTCAGCCCCACCATTCTCACCCTGACTTCAGGGTGACCCCAGGGCAGGAAAAGGCACGAGCTGAGCCCTTCCCCAGGGATGAGAGCCACTCTGCATCTGCCTGACCTGCTGGCCTGGCTCCAGGAGGAAGCAGCAGAGCCTCGTGCTGAGCTCAGCCGAGGGGTGAGCAGGGGTCACCAGCCCTTGCTGGGAGGTGACAGCCTCCTGGGGACACTGGATGGCCCTGGTGGGGCACAAGGACTGGAAACAGGCAAGCAGGCAGAGAGAGCAGGTCCTGCCACCCTTGGGAGAGAAAGGCAGGGTGGTGGTGCTTGGAAAGGCTGCCTCAGCACGAGCTGGGAGCCTGGAATTCTGCAGGATAGGGCCAGGCTTGGGAGCCAAGGACAGGAGAGGGGAGAGCTCTGCAAGGCCACAGCACTCAGGCAAAGCCTCAAATGCTCCTGGCTGGAAGCTGTGGCATCAGCAGCAAGGTGGCTTCTGACATCCCAGCATGGGGAATGCTCTGGTGGCTCCAAGGCAAAGGAATTTCCCCATGGAAAGGGTGCCCAGGCACTGGAATTGCCCAGGGGGCTTTGGAGAGGTGTCCCCTGCAGGTGGCTGGGGACAGGGTGGCCATGGGCACAGCTGGACTCTGATCCTGGGGCTCTTTTCCATCCTCAGGGATTCTGTGGAGTCAGCTGCAGCAGCCTCCAGGCCTCCCTCCTGGTTCAGCTGCTGTTTGGAGTGTCCCTCCTGGGGAGGGGAGGACACTGCCCCTGGCTCTGCTGTCAGCACTCATCCTGCTCCTGTTTCCCTTGGCCCTGCTCCTGAAATCATTGCTCAGCCACGACGGAAGGTGACAAATGACTCAGCTGTGGCTCCACTGGGAGTACCAGGAGAAGCTCCCCAGGCACCCCCAGGGAGCTGCAGCATCTCCTCAGCCCCTCCAAGCTCCTCTCTCCCACTTGGATCCAGAAGTTTCCACGTCCCTGCCAGGGAGCAGCCACTGACAGCCAAGGAGGGTGCACCAACCTTTCCCCTGCTCCTGAAAAAAACCAACCCTGCTCAGCCTCTGACAGGAGCATGGGAAGTGCAGCCAGAGCCACAGGGAGCACTGATATCAAATGAACCAACATCCCAACCCAAACATGCATGTACTGGGACTGCTCAAGGCTCTGAGCATGGATAAATCTGGATGGATTTTCCCTGGATAACATGAAAGGCAGATTCTTGACACAGAGCTCACCTGCAACTCAAATTTCCAATTCTTCCTCCAGCACATCAAAAAGATCATCAGAACTGGACCTAGGAAAAATATTTTCCCCTCCTGCTGTTTTCAGAAGCAGCTGAACCATTTCAGTCCCACACTTATTTTGTGGGGGGCTGTGTGGAATTTTCCCTTTTTTTTTTTTTCTTTTTAATAACCAGAGGCATGAATAATTTCCAGCATGGAAAACTTCTGCTTGAAGAGCTAAATCTGGCACAGAATCATCCAAGAGTCACACAAGAAAGGCCTCCAGCAATGGCAGAGGCAGTGCTACCAAGCCTACCTAGAGCATTTTTTTCCACTGTGCTCACAGGATCTGTTTCACTCCTGGCCTCTCAATCCAATTTCCACTGTCCTGCACCACGAGTTTAAAATAAGGACACCAGGAAGCATGTGTGATAAGGGGGAAGGAAGGGGAAAACCACAGCTTCTTTCATTCTTTCAACAGAGCCAAAAAGGAGTGGTTGTTATAATTTTTTTTTTTCTTTTTTTTTTTAAGAAAAAGCTGCAGGAACAGCGAAGGGCGGGGATGTTTGTTTTAACTTTCCCACCTCCACCACGACACATGTCTGGATGCATTTATAAAGCATCTCTGCTTCTAAAGGTGTTTTGCAGAGTGCCTGACTCCAGTGATGGCATTTTCCACCCCAGGAGCTCCAGCCAGGACGGAGGGGAGGGAGCACAGCCACAGCCCTTCCCCAGCACAGCTGGGGGCACAGACACCCCAAAATCTGTGCCCCCCTCCCAGCAGGCAGAGGAATGAGCTTGGCAGCACCTTGGAGCAGCACGAAGACGAGATGCTGCAGAGAAGGAAGCACGAGTTCCATTTCCTTCCAGCCCTGGCTGCTGCCCAACAGCTGTTCCTTATTTATTTACTTTAATATTTCCTTGGTTACACAAGCAGCTGCTCACAGCTTAACCCCAGCACTGCCTGGGCCACCCTGCCCAGGGCAGGGACAGCCAGGGCTGCCACCTCAGCGTGCCCATGTCCTGCAGGGCAGGGGACAGGGGACAGAGGACAGGGCAGCACTGCTGTGAGCAGCATCTGCCCCATCCCAGGCCTTGCAGGAGCCAGCTGAAGCTGGGAAAGCCATCTGCAGTCCCAGGGGCTGGCTGTGCTGGGCAGGCTGGAATTTCAGCAGGGTGTTTGTGTCTGGAGGGCTCAGCAGAGGAATCCAGCCCACGGTGATGCTCAGCCCCATGGCAGGGGGTGCCCAGCTCCTCCCTGTGCCACAAACAGCCCAGCCAGGGCATCCCAGTGGCCCCTCTGGCAGATGCTGCCAGCCCAGAGATCCCTTGGTGCATTTTTTCTGTTCTCCTCTGCACACAGCCTGTTCCAGCAGCTCAGTTTGTGTTTTGGCTCATAAAGCCCAGCCAGACCCCTTGGCTGATCTCCACCAAGGAGGAGGTGGAAAACACCCTTTGCCTGCTCACCCAGAGCTCTGCTTTGGGTTTTCTGCAGCCCAGCCTGTCCCAATTGCCTTTCCAGCCTCTTCTCTCCCATTTTCCTCCTGGCTCCCCCTGCACCAGGAGGGAATTAAATCAGAATAATGGCACGGCCTGGTTTGGAAGGCTTGGAAGGGACCATTTAGTTCCAACCCCCTGCCATGGGCAGGGACATCTTCTACCACAGCAGCTTGCCCAGAGCTCCATCCAGCCTCTCCCTGGGCTCTTCCAGGGATCCACAGCTTCTCTGGGCACCCTGTGCCAGCGCCTGCCCACCCTCACAGGGAGGATTTTTCCTGATATCTGCTCTTAACCCACTCTCTCAGTCTGAAGCCATGCCCCCTTGTCCTGCCACTTCATGCTTTGGTAAAAAGTCCCTCTCCCTTTCCTCTTGGCTCCCTTCAGGTACCTCTGGGCTGCCAGGGGAGTGGGCACTGCCCAGGGAACCAACTCTTCCCCAGTGTCAGCCCTGCTGTGCTGGGACAGCAGCTGGGAAAGCCACAGGAACGGAATTTGCACCTAACTGGGACAAAACCCTCCCCAAAAGCAAACAACCCCCCCCTCAACAACAACCCCGGTGGCACAGAGGAAGCAGAACCAGCAGCTGGAGTGAGCTCAGCCTCTCTGCCCCCAGGGCTGGAGCACTCCCAGCTCTCCCACCTGCAGGTCGAAGAACTTGCTGTAGCGGCGGTAGATGACCTCGGTGGCTCCATTGGACCAGCTGACCCTGATGATGTACACCTGCAGGGAACAGAGCAGCAATCAGAGTCAGGGACCCAAAAAACCCCACCATAACCCAAAAGGTGCCAGTGCAGCCCCCACAGCTGGGTGGCAACCAGGGAAAGGCTTCAGGTCACTTCAGCAACACCACAGCAGAGGTGAGGCAAAATTATTGAACCCCACTGCTGCAGCTCAACCATTTTTTATTTCTGGTGGTGAACTGAGCTCTGTAGCCCTGGAGAGGGGCACACATTGGATGTGAAGTGACACTTCTGTGTCAAAACACAGCAGAATTCCCTGCAGACACAGGAGTGAATAACCAAACCCTGGCCACCCCGTTTGCAGCTGCAGCACCAAAGCTGATGCTGAGCTCCAAGGGCAGCACCTGCACCAGCCTGGCTGCTGCAACTGGGACTGCAGCAGCTCCAACGCCCAGAGTCTGAAACTCCACCTGCTTGGCGTTGGGTTTCTTACACTTGCTGGGGATCAGGAAATCACCATCCTGATCCTTCAAATGCCACAGGATCAGCCCCAGTCACTGCAGGGCATTCACAGACCCCATGACCAGGCTTTAACTGGTGCTGAATGCAAAACAAAACACCAAACCCAGCCCATTTCGTCACTAATTCTTCTCTGAAGGACAACAAGCACATCACAGAATGAGGCAATCACTGATCTAATGTCCTCTCTGTGTGTCACAGAAAGCAGAGATAACCCTTGGTTAGGGGCCAGTGTAACACCCAAGCGATACAAATCTCAAATTGACAACAGATTCACTGAGCAGAACCCAGGATATTTTTTTTCCTCCTAACTCAAGTCTTATTTCCACCAGAAATTCAAGTATCAGTTCCTTGAAGAAGGACCAAAGAAGCCCAGGTGAAGGGACCTGCTGGAACTTCTGCTGGCAAAATCAAGCATCAAGGCTGTTAAAAGCTGATGTTTTGGTATTTAAAAGAGAATCCCTCAGGAGCTTCACAAGGTTTTTCCCACTGAGATGCCCATTTTTCCAGATTCTGGAATGTGACCAACCTCCTCAACCAGTATCCAAACTCAAACACCAGGACAGCACAACGCTCAGTAATTTGAGTTTATCAAAGCTACTCAAATCCTGTACTGAAAATCTCCCTCAAATCCCACTCTGCTGCTCAGAGGGCTGACCCAGCCTGAGCCACCAAGGTGAGGACACTCCCGAGGGGTGACAAACTCTTCCCAGTGCAACCACTTCCAAATTAAGACAGAAAACGAGGCAGCAAGAGGGATCAAGTTCTTATTGCTGAAATAAAGAACTTCCCTCCTTTCAAACCAGCAATTCAAGGTCCACTTTTGTGGAATTTGGGTTGGATGGGACCTTAAAGCTCATCCATTGCCACCCATGCCATGGCAGGGACACCTTCCACTGTCCCAGGGTGATCAAACACCGGCCTTGGGCTCTGCCAGGGATCCAGGGGCAGCCACAGCCAGGGCCTCAGCACCCAATATCCCTCCTAAACCCAGCCCCTCAGTCTGGAGCCATTCCCCAACTCTTATTTTGAGATGAAGGACGCGCATTTCCTCCCTATGAACACAGATGGATTCTCCCAGACAACATCTGCTCCAGCTGTGGAGGCCTGGAAGGACCAGGCTGTGCTCCAAGGGGGCAAACCAAGGGTTAACCTGGTGTTACCACGGGTTCCAACTCCTTTACCCTCTCCCCAGGAGTTGCTGCTGGGCCAGCATGAGCTCATGTGGGCTGGAAGCTCAGCTGATATCCCAGTTTTCTTACAGTCCCCAGCACTGCTCGGGTTATATCACCGCTGGCTGCCTGCCTGGAGAGAGCCTTCCACTGGGGCAGCAGGAGGAGCCAACTTCTCCTCATTGTTTATTCCTATCCTGCCTTTATTTGGAGTCAACAGCTTATTAGACTGGGATTTTAATCAGGATGTGGACAGCCTCGGGCCAGGGTAATTCAGAGCTCTTCAGGGTAATGAAGGCACGAGGTCTGAGGGCACACCAGGCTTCTGCAGCGAGGGAAGCAGCACTGCTGCTCAGTGATGAGCTCACTGCTGTTTTGCTGAAATGCTGATCTCCCAGGGGTCAGGAGAAGAGTTTCCTGCACATCCCTCTCCAGCAGCACAAAGGTCTCCAGGGGTTTCTCCTCAGCCTACTTATGGAAAGCAGAGAAGGTGGGGGAGCCCACCTCAGTACTGATAAAACCTGGGGAAAGCCAGCTTCCTCTCTCCTGGTGGGTATTCCTCATCTTTCCAACGGCCCCATCCCAGATCTTGGTCTCTCCCAATATCTAATCCAGTCCCTGCTGTGCCAGAAATAAAAAAATCCACCAGAAAACACAACTCTGGTGCTCCCCTCACCAAACAACCAGTGCAGGTTTGGAAAGGTTTGAACAGTGCACTCACCCAGTGAGCCTTTCCAGAGGACTGCACATGAGGCACTGAGCTCCCACAGACCCCAAATTCCCTTCCTCAGCTGCTTTTGGAAGGCACTTCCAATGACCAAGACAGCTCTAAAACCACTGCACTGGGTCTGAAGTTTCCCCTCCTGGCCTGGCACTGCACCATGTCCTGCCAGGAGGAGAAACTTCAGACACCACCACGAAGCAGCAACCCAAATAACCCAAGTTCTGAAATAATCCCAGTAGGAGCCACCCCATCAGCTGCTCTAAGAGGCTTTTTCCCAGCCCAGGACATGTGGAAGCAGTTATTCCATGGGTCTTTTTCACTGAGACCCGCAGGGCTTTTCCCTGGAGAGGAGAAGAGAGGGGATCCCCCAGGGCTGTGCCCCCACAGGGATGGGGCTGGCACTTGGATCCTCTCCAAGGACAGCAAGGAGGGGTGGCTTGGGCTGGGCCCCTGGCCAAAACCAACAGCTGAGCTGCCCAAACCCCAAATATCCAAATATCCAAATATTCAAATATCTGCAGCCCTTCCCAGCCAGCTGGGGGGTCTGCACCAGGGAACAGAAGGAGCTGAGTCAGTGAAACCCAGGAATGGTTTCGCTGCCCTCCCTCCCTCCCTCTGGAAAGGACACCCTGCCCTCCCCCAGCCCTGGGAGCCTCAGTGCTGGCAGGGACAGGAGGCACAGGGACAATTTCTGAGGTGCAGGTGGACCTTGTTTAGTGCCAGGTCAGAGGGGCATTGCTCATGAGCACCAAACCCTCTCCGTGCTCCCAGCCCTTGGAGCACAGAGATGGAACAGATCCCTCACAGAAAATGGAAACTTGCAGATGGAAAAGGCTGAGTACAACAGACTCCACTGGAATTGAGCTCCCAAACTCCTTGGGATCCCCACAGCACAAGGAAATGGTCACAAACCAACCACTTAAAAGTGACTCATTGAGCAGTGTGGCATCAGGACCACCAACCACTGCCCAAGGTTCCCCCTGGTGACACAAAATGCCCTAAATGGAAATATAACATGGCAAAAGGTCACATGAAATGCCCTAAATGGAAATACAACATGGCAAAAGGCGCAGGGGATCCTGCAGCCTTCCCAGTGAGCTTGGTCCCTCCATCATCACCCATCTGTCACTGCTGTCCCCTCCCCAGCACCTCTCAGAGGGAGAACAGACAGTGGAAAATGGGGCTGAAAACCTTGGGAACTGCCAGAAAAATGTCAGCTTGCTGCAAGAAATGCAAACAGCACCTGGCCAAGCGTGCAGAGCTGTCAGAGGAGCCCAGGGGAACACCCTGGCAGAGAGAGCCACAGGGACATCCAGGACACCCCTCCTGGGCAGCCCAGCAGGGAGGGAGCTCCTGGGAGGCTTCAGGAGCCAGCTCAGACACATCCATGGGAGTCACGGGGACAGGGGATGAGAAGCCAGGGAGAATGTGAAAAGGGCAGCCAGAGATTTAAATTTTTTTTTCTTTCTTTTCCTCTTGAAGAAATGAAGCAGCGAGCCCTGGGAGCAGTCAGCCACCAGAAGTGTTTTTGCAGGGACTGCTGGAAATCCCTGGTGCTGCAGCCAGCAGTGGCTCCTGGTGACTTCCAGGGCCCAGAGGGACCGAGGGCACCGGAGCCATTCCCAAATCCTCCGTCCTGCCCTTCCCAAAGAGGCACAAAGTCCCTCACAACAGCACGGGGAGAGAGAGGAGCTGATTCAAACTGCTGACTCGAGGCAAGGAAATTAAGAACAGATACTGAAAAAAAAAATAAAATCAAATAACAGAACCAGTTTCCCGTTCTTAAACACGAGGCCGTGTGACCTCGCAGAAGAATTACTCCTGGACTCCCTGCATAAACACTCCAGGACAAGCTGGGAAGCAGCCTGGACTGCTTAAATGTGAGCAGGAAAAGGCAGAGTGAAGGTGAGGAAAACCTAGAGCTGCAGTTTCAGCTTTTCTCCCCTCCTACAGGAGTTTTCCAAAGTTTTTCACAATTTGCATGGCATCCTGGCTGGGAGGAGACACATAAACCCCACAAGGAAGGATGTGGGAGAGGGGAGCTGCCTGGGAACCCTGCCTGGCACCCAGCTGAACCAGGCAGCAAATCCCCCCCAAGCTCAGCAGCACCCAGAACCCAGGATGAAGGATTCAGCCATCCCAGCACCAGCTCTCCTGGCACGGCACAGCCTTCCCTGAAGGGTCCAGAGCTTCCCTGGCACCCCTGTGCCCACAGCTCCTCCACACAGACACGGGCAGGGTGGACAGCAACCCCGTGGTCACTTGGAAAGCCACCTCCACGGCAAGGCAGGGACACCAGAGAAGGTGCCCAGCCTCCAGCAGAGCTCCTGCACAGCCCCAGACACAGCAGCCTGCAGCGGGGGCTGAGCTGGCTGCAGAGCTGCTTCCAAAGCCTGGGAGCCTGTGTGGTCTCGGGCCCAGGGAGACTCTGCACAATAAACCCCTCTGTGGAAAACTGCACATATTTAAAGCATCTTTCAGCAGCAAAGAGGAAAAGCATCAGTCAAAAGCATCAGGCTTTTGATTTCACCCACGCTACCCCGACCCTGAAACGAGGGGAGATGTGAGAGCCCCACCCTCCCTTCAGAAACCCAAAGGGGCAGAGAAACCAAAGGAGCTGAGCAA